GCTACCTCAAAAGGCATAAGGCCTCCGGGTCAGACCCGCTGTCCCCATCGGTTTTCGAGGACGGAGGTTTAGCCTTAGTTTCGGAGTTAACAGAACTCATGGGCTCACTGTGCGAGAGAGAATAGGTTTCAACTGAATAGTGTGAATCCGTGATCATTCCGATTTACAAGAAAACCTACTGGACCTCTTGCGAAAACCAAAGACGAATTAGTTCAATTAGTTAAATATCGTCTCTAAACTTCTCGCTGGCATCATATTCCGTCGATCGTCTGCCGTACGTGAAGAGTGCACGCGTGAGAACCAGACTAATTTTAGACCTGGTCGAGGTTGTATCGACTACATCTTCACTCTTCGCCAAACCGACATTATTTTCGTATACCCACCATCTCTGTCTTCGACTCAGTCGACCGCTATAAGCTCTGACGCTGCCTTTCTCTAAAAGGTGTGCCCGAGAAGATTATTTCAATATTACAATCCCTTTATACTAATAGCCGAAGCCGAGTCCGAGCTTACGGCTCTTTTTCGCCCGAGTTCATCACGGACAGTGTTGTTCGACAGGATTGCCCCTCTCTCAGTTTAATTTTGTCACAGATCTAATTCTTGAAACAGCTGTATTCTCCTGCGAGGATAGTGGAATCGATTTACTCCCAGGTGGTACGCTATCTACTCTAGACATTGTGCTGCTACGTGAAGATCCAGGTAAGTTGCAAGCTTTTCTGGACATTGAATGCCAGTGTAGCTATGTTCGGCATGCGTAAAATGTTACTTCACGACTGGGTTGGTCCAGCACCCAGCCTCACCCTAACTGGGGAAGTAATAGAGCAAGTGGATAAGTTTTGTTATTTGAGCAGCTACATCTCACTCGATTGACGCATCACGGATGAAGTAACAGCTCGCATACAAAAGGCTTGGTTGGCAAATTGAGACATCTGTGGCGCCGTCGCGACATCCGGCTGTCTGTTAAGGGTCGAGTGTATTCTGCGGCAGTTCGACCACTGCTGCTATACGGCACAAATACTTGGCCATTGAGAAAACAGGATAAAAATATACTGTCGGTGTTTGAACACCGCTGTCTACACAGCATTGCACGAATCTGGTGGGGCAGCCGAACAAGCATTGCTGAGGTCAGGCGCAGAGTTTTAGGTAACCGTGGTCGCCCACTGGAGCAAATGGTTGACCTCCATAGATTACGTTGGTTGGGGCATGTGTTACGCATGTCAGCAGATAGGTTGCCACGGCGAGCGATGTTTTCCGAGGCAGGTAGTGGTTGGAAAAAAGCCAAGGGTGGTCAAGCTAAGACCTGGCATGAGGGTATGAAAACCTCAACNCCTCAACCAAGACACTGGTTCTCCTGGATCGGGACCTCGCGTCCATGGTAACCGGTGGTTAGAGACATTAAGTGAGATGATTGAGTGTCGCAAACAGCGGTGCTCTTGCGCTTACTCCTTATGGTTGCAACCCCAGTCTATACGAATTCTCTCTTTTTTGACTCTATTCTCAACATTCCTATCTTCATTCTACTGTTTTATTCGATTAGTCGGTCAGAAGACAGCAACGAAAACGGATGCATCAAAATATGGTTGTAAAAACAAACAGACCTGAGCTGATTTTCGGCCTGCCGTTCGAGATTGACCCTTAATCTCATGCACCCAGTGCAACAGACGGAACGTAGACGTGTCAATACCTTAGTCACTCAGGGCTGCCCAATTTAGGCGGGTGGTGGCTGTGCAATGAATTGCGAAGACTCCTCCCATCGAAATAGTCTCTAGGGCGAGTATTGATCACGCCCTCGCTTTAGGATACAATGAGCGCTCATGTGTCGTAACCCCTCACACCAAACAGGTTAATAAGTTGTCTCTATTTTAGCGGGACAACTAATGGAGTACTCTATACAGTGGTGAATACCTGTCCGGTGCATATCACCGACTGAACTCGGGATGTTCAATTGGCTTTTTACGGCCCTGTGCGAACCGGACTGAATGGTTCCTTTGCCATGTCTCCGTAGTCAACTTAAGGATCATTTTTACTACGAGTTACTCGAGGCGATCCTTTTCAATTCAGCATGGTCCCAACGCAACAATACCTGAAAAAGGTAGAATTGGGATACAAAAGTGGAAACAAACAATTACAGAAAATTAAAAGAGCCCTTACTGCCTATCCATCAATCATGGTGATCATTAATCCAGAATTCCAGTTGATGAATTTGTATCTCGGTTATCCGTTCTCCGTCTTTATGTTGCTATCCACAGTGGTTATTCTAGGTCGAAGTACCACAGATACTCACTTCATTATCACTTATTATACGAATTGGAAAATATTAGGAGGATAATTCCATATATTATAGTTTCCTTTGTAATTGATCTGTTGTTGACTTATGTCAGGAGAAACTTCAATGTACCACGTCTGTCTTGTTGAGGCTTTGTGGGGTTCGCTACTCGAAACCCCAAGGCTTAGATTAACAATTATAAGTTAACACTAGACCCCTGTGATTATAGGGTTTACTTCTGCTGTTCATTAGAAAATGGCGTGTAATATAAAAAGGCAACTAAACCTGTCGATTATATCTGGCTCATCATTGCAAAAGGTATATGCAGAAAGCCTCAGTGTGGTCGGGGGTGGGTGTCTCCATTCCCTTACACCTCGCGAAATGCTCCTATATGACCAAGCGTCTCAAATAGCTTCTGCTGAGGAAGCCCTACCTCACTGCCTTCTCGTGGCGGAGGTGTTTTTCCACCAAAGTGAGGGGACGGATGGCCGATATCTGGGGCTGTAACCGAGTTGGTGAACCATTGGCAGTTCACCTAAGGGAGTTGGCTAAAAAAGCTGATTCCAAACCAACCAAGATGAGGCATGCGAACCACGTACACCTTCCTGGTCGCTGCAGTGGTCACCGGCTCGATTGGGCGTCAGGGTGTATTGGGCACCTTGGACGTTTGACCCCGTGCAAAAGGCGTATGATTCAGTGAACTGGACAACGGTCCTCAATGGACTTCGGACTCTGAGCTCCGTCCTGTCGTCTTGCAGGTCTGGCTTTCTAGCCAAAGGCTTCGGGTGGGGACCCCGAGGCTACCCCCTTTCCTCGACCAGGGCAACCGGAAAATAACAAGCCCACACAACATATGAACACATTCTTCAGATTTCTTTCGGTTCATATGTTGTGGCACATTTGCCAGTTCTCTGTAATTGGTTTCGTGTTGAAATTTAAAAAAAATAAAATATGCAGGCATGGGCTCTTACCGGTCTCGTACGAGTACTTTGCATTTGTGCGATGTGATGCACACACTATCTGCATTCCTGGGTCGCCCAGCTATTAAAACCATATTATACTGCCTGTTGATTGTAGTTCAAGAAGGCGTTGTTGTCTGCATACTTGGGGTCGAGCACCATGTTCCCTGGGAGTCAAACTTCACTGTGTGCTAGACCCGACAAGGCATGCCGTAGAAAATGGCAAAATTGAAAAGAAATCTGGATATAGGCCGTTTTCGTTGCACCCCACTAAGGGTGACGAGGGGTGGTGGATGTTGGACATTACCCCTAGTCCCTATTACACAAAACGCGATTCACGGCACATGGGGTCATCTTCATGCAGCCGTACAATAAAGAGGATGCGCTGGGGAACTTTCACATTAAGGCCAATTTGTTTCTCCTGTTTTCGAAGAAAACACGAAGAGTAAATGTTTCATAGTCCTGGGGGGAAATAAAACCTGAATGATAAAATCCGATATCTTGGGACGAACGCAATAAGGATGGTTGGTCGCTTGTGATTCAGATGATCAAAAAAGGACTTGGTGTGATATAATGACCAACGGTTACGAAATTCCCCTTTGCATGACACTCATTTGAAACCTGATCCTCATCTCTCCTCCTGCAACAGTAAAAGATGCACCATATCTTATTCCTCATAAATGTTATTTTACTGATATGAGAATGAACCTACCAAAAACCAACGTTTATGAATGTTTTATGCCCTAATTGATGGTACAGTTTCGTTTCGCGAGCCCAGTTTCGGATAAACTTGGGCAAGTCGGGAGCTAAACAGAAAACAGCAATGTAACTCGTGCTTGGGTTTACGCTGTGTTAATGAACTCGATTTGTCAGTAAGTAAACCACGCGCAGTTATGGTCGCTAGATATCTTTTCATGATATAAAATGTTAGAAAATCTGATCATCTAGGTCTGAAACTTCCAGTGGTGAATCATGTAAAGCTTCGGTGGCTATATTTTACATCTGTCCTTTGAAGCAGAACCTGCGCAACCTTAACTTCGCATGAATACTATCCCACACTTATTTTCTATAGATAATTATAAAAGGCTTCTCTGAAATTTTAAGGTTTTACATGGTATGTCAGGCAAAAGGGTAATCAGCGAGTGGTTGGTTCATCTGGTAGCAGTTGGTGTATGTAGCGGTAGGTTTAATTTTGTCCCATTTATATAAAATTTTATTATCTATGTAAACAGAAACTTTTTTAATTAAATGGTATTGTGTTGCTGCTTCATTGTTCGACACCAATCTTCATTTTCCAAAACGTTATTTGTATGAAATTCAGATGACTATTTGTTCCAATCACTCTATTTCGAAGCTGATTTGGGTTCCTGCAATCTGATTACGATTTCAGGACCGAAGATGTTCCCGAAGCATCTCGTTTTGAACAAGAGTTGATGCTTCTTGATGACGTGGAGGCAGAAGACGTTGTCCTGGTGGATGAAAGTACGGCTGTTTCAACAATCGGTGCACCGACCAGTGCACATTGGTTGAGACCAGCATTAAGACCATTGAATCCTTCAGCAGATAACATTGTCTTTCAGCAGTTTGATGTTTCGCACTACAAAGTACGCGTTAGTTTTCAAACCGTTTCGTATGAACTTTGAATGGAGTTCATTTCTTTCGTGTTAGTGTAATCATCGCTAAAAGAGTAAAAACTAGTTATATTTGAATTTTAAGATTTCTAGTTTTTCTTCTGACTACCACCGATTATAACTGTTCTACTTTACGGCCACCATCTGCTTGAAGTTTTCCTTAAAAGCAAACTTCTGTTTTTGCACGTACTAGATACCACAAGTGAATTACTATTTTCTGATAGTTTACCTGTCACATTTTAGCAGGACAGCTTAGATGTGAACAGAAACGACAACATACTGACTTGTTTGATGCTGATGTTTCCTTATCGTCTCTCCTTACCCAGGACAGAAAAATATCGGTTTTACTTATTAACGAAAGTCGAATATGTATTTACAATAGTTACTTATTGATGACCCACTTTTACACAAAGTTAGCTACCCAAGAGCGTAATATTTTTCCAAAAAAAACTAAGAATTGCAATAAAAATCAAAGCAATGAACGGGGTTAGCTATTTTTGCAGAAAAAAGCACATCCATAATTTTTCTTTAACATATCTAGGATGTTATAGATACATGGAATACAGAAATCCAGGCATCGGTAGAAATGAGCTTTGTATTAATTCCTTAGGTATTCCAGATGATTTTGTAATATCTCTGCTGCAAATGCGCCTGTGGTTCAATACAATGGACTATACGGATACGTCAATATCCTCAAG